TTTTATATAAAGAGTGGCTGTATGAAAGGACAGAGAGAGACAGAGCTCCCATCTGGTGGTTCACTTCTGAAATGCCCAATCAGCCAGGGTCCAGCCAGGCCAAAGCCAGGACCTGGAGGCTCACCCCGAGGCTGTAGGAGAAGCAGGGACCTAAACCCTTCAGTTTAGTTACCTGCTGTTTCCCAGGACCCTGAGATTAGAATCAGAGCTAGGCGTTTGAGATGTAGGCGTCCTAAACAGTATCTCAGCTGCTGAACCAGGTGCCTCCCTCCCGAGGCTGTCCAGACAGTATGAAAGGACCCTTCCTTCCTGGGGATACTTGGGTTCAGGATAATGTAATTTTTTTATGAAATTATGGTAACATGTAATTGATCTTGTTATTCTCAAAGACATTAATGACTATTTCTAGTTTTCCTGTTTTTGGTTTCTGCTGCAAAGCTGTTAATACATGATCCGAGGTGACATGCAACGTGTGTTTCTATACACATATGTGGGTGCAGGGGTGTATACTTGCCCTTTATGGCTTATTTCAAAAAAATCCTTTTTAAGAAGATAAAGACATTCTGAGACCAAAAGTGTTTGAGATCTACCGTATGTAATAAGTGCATAGGGGCCGGCACCATGGCAATGCCAGCGTAGCCACCACCTTGCATCATTTGGCTTGTGATAGGTGAATTGCCAACTATTGGTTTAATCCGTGTGTTGAATCAAGTTGAGTATTCATATTTAAAATCTACACATTACATTTCATACCAACTAACAAACCCTTTGTGCAATTTTTTATGTGTAAAATTCCCTAATTTTTTTGTCACCATAGCATTTGTAAATAAAAATATTGAGCGCTCATGCGTCATGTTTGTTTTTATTTTACATTTTATCTTGAGGTATTTTGGTATCTCATGTCAAACTGCTTTAATCATCTTGAAAACTTACCTTTGGACTTTCCTCTGGTCATGTCATGGTTTGTGTATTTTTGTTTGTTTGCTTTTTTTTTTTCCATTTAAGTGCCTAATTTATCTGGTATTTGTCCTGCAGTAAGGAGACACATATTGATCTAAATTTATTTAGTTAACGTGTCTACGAAATTGTCTCAGCACAGTTATTTAATACTCTGTCTTTTCCTCGCTAATTTAAATAAAGTTATTTCTTATACAATATAGACACTGCAGTCTATTGATTTTCTCGTCTGTTCTATCAGTTTATCTGTCTCAAGTGCCAGTATTACACTATTACAATTATTTATATTTTAGTTGATACCCACTGACATAGATTAATTTAACGTCCTGCTCCCATGAAGCCAATTTGAAGAACTTTATAATTGGGTTGTTTTCATTGTTCCTCTTGATTTTATAAAGTACATGGCTTCATCATGTACCAGTGCAGGCAATCTCTAGCCCATCTTCTTTCCTTCTGAGAAGGGTTTGTAACTTTGTCTTGAATCTTGTTGCTTGTGCTTTAGTTATTTCTCTTCCTTTTTGAAAAAAAATGTTGTCTATCTGAAAGACCTAAGACCTAATGCAGAAGGAGGTTTGGGGTGAGACAGAGAGAGAGATGTTCCGTGAACTTTTTTTGCTCCCCAAAGGGCTGTGAATGAGTGAGCTAGGCCGGACCAAGCCAGGAGCTTCCTCTCCCCGTGGGTTCCTTCTCCCCCGTGGGTTCAAGGATCTTGGGCCATTTTCTCTTGCTTTTCCCAGTGCATTTGTAGGCATCAGGATCAGAAATGGAACAGCCAGGACTCCAGTTAACACTTGTATTGGATTCTGGCAGCGCAGCTGGTGGCTGTGTTTGCCGCACTACAGGGTGGGCCGGTCTTGCTTCTCCTTGAAGCCACCCCACTAGGAACCTGGGACAGTTACAATATTCACTCTCAATGTCTTCAGTTGGTTCTTATTTTTGTACTTGTTCCTGTTTTGTGTTACAAAATTTCCTTTACCTTTCCAGAGAGTCTCAGTCTATCAGCTCCATTGGATTCATTTTCTTTGGTATTAACTTTCTGTATTTTTTTTCTTTTCGCCCTGATGTGTGTCTCCGCAGAGCAGTTGATCCATAGGGAAAGGTGGAACCCAGGCTATGTGCTCTGCTCTGGGTGGGTAGAGCTGGGCCATGACAGAGCTGGAGCTGGAGTACAGACTCAGCCCTCCCCTTCGTGGTCTGTCTCCTTCGGAATGCTCAGCTGACTGACCCGTGTGTGTGCGAGTATGCACAAACGCACACATACACGTGTGCATACATATTTTTAATCATAATAGCCCAAATGTCTTGTTAGTACAAAACTTTGGGAATTGTTGAAATATCAAGCCAGATAGTTTATATTTGAGGCGTTTTCTAAGTGGCTTAGGAGTTGGTCAACTTTAGAAAGGTCTGCATTGTACAGTCATCGTTATGTACCGGTGCTATTAGAGCCCTCTTCTCGAGGAATGCAGGTTGAAAGGTTAGACAGGATTTGTAGAGGTGGGAAGTGAGGCCTGCCCGTCCTCCCCGCCTTCTGCCTGGCCTCGGCACGGCTTCCATACATGCCAGGTGCAGATTCCTGGTCACGTTGACGTTTGTTCACTGTGGAGTGCGCGCTCACCTCCAACATCACACTGTGGACCTGCCACCTCTGGAACTGTAATTCCTCTGAAGCCAGAGTCACTGCTGGAAAATGCCTTATTGTGTGTCCAAGCATCCATCAAGCACATGGGGAGTAATTTCAGAATGTCCAGTGCAGTATACCCAGAGCTGTAACACTGTGTGCGAGGTGACTCTCACAGGCGGGGTAAGCCTGTTAAGCTCACCTTGCAGCCACCATGGGCTCACGGACGCGCAAAAAGAATATGAGTGGAACTGGATGAAAGAATTGTTCACAGAAGGCATTTGTAGTGGAGACGTCAGTGCTTAAAATTGTATATAGGAAATACATGGAATCTGTTCTCTTTATGTAAATGAATAAAGTAAGTAAAACAAAATATGCAGCAGCCTTCCTCCAATACTTAGTGTATTTCTTAAAGCACCTTAGGTTCTTGGTAGTTGAGTGAGTGCAATCATGGTGAAATATTAACTCCTTTATACTGAATTCCTTATTTTTAAAGTTTAATAGTGTTCACAAGACTGGTCAATAACTTCAAATCTAATTGCTGAAGGTTATCCTGCAGCGTGTATCTATAAATTGTTGGTTGTTTCTCGTTTTGCACTTAATGAAAACAGAGCTGATAATTAAAAATTTTTAAGGAAAATTGAGAGAACACAAATTTAATGATACTGCATTACATATATTCTAACTACCTAAATTAAGTATTCAGTGTTTCTAAATATAGATCAAATAAAAATCATTGAAAACATTATTTTTAATGATTCAGAGAAAAACCTGGACTCACAATCCTGAATTTTTGCAATCTGTGATACGTCTACATTTTAAGCTTCAGCAAGTCAGCGCATGGCTTACCAGCAAAAACTGACAGAGATAACTTGGTCATCTCTCGGAAGTATAAGCAAAATAATTGAGACAAGAGAAAAGATAATTGAACGGGATTGTTGGAGAATATGAACAGTGGAACTTGGGTTTTAAACTGGGAGGAAGCAGGATTCGCCGATCACTGCGTCCACTGTGGGTGCCGCCCGAGCTGTGGGGCACTGGGCTGGAAAAGCCTCAGACAGGAACAGAGGAGAAAGATTGTCCCCATTGCACTGCACTGCTTTGCCCAGCAGCCTGAAATAGTGTCTTCCAAAGCTTCCCTATTCCGAATTACTCAGTTGAGACTGTAAAATCAATCTTTAGAGGACTAATTGAAATCAGTGTAAATATTGAAAGTAGTAGTTAAAATGTACGTTCATGGGAACAATTCTCTGAGTCCCAGAAAGAGAAGGAGACGGGAAATGGACTTGTGTCTGTTGCCACTTTGGTAATGAGCATTGCAATGAGAAAGCAGAGCTGCATTCCTGAGACGGTTGACTCAGACTGGAGAGCAAGGGTCCGTGAGGTGTGTGGCAGCACTGCAAGGCAGAGGTGCTCCTGCGATGGAGGCTGGGGACTGCCCTCACCCCAGGCCTTGCACATGCTGCAGATGAGACTACTGCAAAAAGTTCATGGAAAATGGAAATAAACATTTGAGTGTTAAAAATGCATTAAAATCCAAGCATAGATTTGTGTTTTGTAATATGTCTTTTCATGAGCCCTTTGAAGATTCCTTCTTTGCATGGATTTCAAAATGGTTCCCCGTGAAGTGAGCTCACCTTTAGCTCCATTTTCCAAATGGTTTGGAATCTGCTCAGCCGCAAAGGAGGCCGAGACATGTCTGCAGCCCCTAGCTTCTGCGGCAAGCACCTCTCCTGTCATCCGGTTCTGGGTGGCGCCAAGCTTCACCTTCTGATGACAGGGACTGCTTTCCGCAGGCTGGACATCCTGTGCCCTTGTCATCTCTCGGAGTGGAAAAGCCTCATGCTGGGGTTTGCTGGTGAACATGCCAGTGGGAGATATCTAGTCCTTTTATCTGATTTGTATTGACGGGGGCGATGCTAATCGTTAATCCAGAACCTTGGAGCAGTACCTTTCTACCAAGCACAGATTAGCATAAAGACACCTTAAACTGATGGAAATAAATTTTAAGTGAATAAAGCACTTTTGGTACATTGCAGCATTTAATTTAGCTATATATTAAGTTTCAAAGAGATCCCTAATTAAGCTTGTTCAGAATATTTAAATGTACTAAGTCACATCTGCGTGTTATAACCAATCAAATGCTTTATATACATAAAATGGGGGCGTGGCAGGGAGTACATACAGCATTTTCTAAAAATGAGTTCATAAAGACTGCTTTACTTAAAAGTACTTCATCATAGGGCAGTGTTAAAACTAAAATCATTATGTGCTTATTTAACATATTCATAAAAATGTACCTAAAGATTGCTCGCTTCTTGTATTACACCAATACTAATATTAACTGCTCTGCTGTCAGACTCCTTCTTGTCAGTGTTGTCACGGCGAAGTGGAGAGGTTGACATCGATTGTCTTGTTTCTTCAGATAAACCTGCAGAGGAAGATGCGAGTGACTGGTGTGATAACTCAGGGAGCCAAGAGGATCGGGAGCCCAGAGTACATAAAATCCTACAAAATCGCCTACAGTAATGACGGGAAGTCGTGGGCCATGTACAAAGGGAAAGGCACCAATGAAGATGTGGTAAGGCAGACCTGACTTATCAGTGAAGTCCCATTGAGGCACAACCGAGTCTTGCGAAAAAGACTTACGATGTTGAAGATAAATTTCCGATGCTTTTGTATTGTTTTTGGGCCCACAGGGTTGTCAGAGAACCAGTCTCTTGAAATTGTAAATTTCTAGTGACTTCCACTTACTGCTTGTCACTTGGTAATTGATGGCCCAAGGAATACTTAGTGTGATCTCGTACGCAATGACTAACAGTATTTTAAAATTGAAGTAAAAGCACGTTTTGCTTTCTTCTCAGTGTTTATGGATTAGAATGTTCTGTGATCAACCTGCTTCTCATCAAAACTAGTATTTTTTAAAACAGAGAAGCGCCAGTTGTGTATGTTTTTCGTAATTGTAAAAAAAATTATTTAACAGGAACAACATTCTTTTTGTCTTCACAATTTTTGTATTTATCAAACGTTTCATTGGTAACACTATCAACAATGCAGATCATCCCATTTATAAGTAAACATTAAACCAGACTCTAATGCCATGGTGAAAGATGTAAAAATTATCCTGCTGGATGAATTAAAACAAGGCTTTCTGATTACTGGGTTACATTGAAGGGCAGATAAGTCTAAAGCTTGCACAAGTCAAAATGTCATGTGTTAGCCCTTGCTTTTTCAGGGGAGGAATAAAGTTTTCACTAGAGACACGCCTAAGGACAAGGAAGTTTCTCGTGCAGGATCTGAGATCATCAGTGGAAAGGCATTCTTGATGAGTTGGACCACAGAGCACTGTTGAGTGTGCCCATAGCCTTAGAGGCATCGTGGTGGGGACGTCGTGGTGGGGACTGGTTCCTACCACAGCAGCAGCAACATTAAGTCTCAGTGAGAAGGGATAGATCCTGATTCAGTAAAGGATTTCCAGTGTCCCTGTCTCAAAACCAAAGGGAAGCGCCCCCACCCCCGCCTCCACAGGGCCTGCTTCGAAACTGGCCCGACCTCCACAGCAGCTTGCTGATGACATTGTGTTACACAGAGGTGTATAACTTTCGTTTAGCATTTTATTTACATATCTCACATTCTCTGCTGATGGGAAACTGCTTGCTAACCATTGCCAGCTCCCAGGTTTCTCAGCTCCATGTTTGAAGGATTAGATTGATGAAGGTATTGGGTCGATGTATAAAAATCAGCAAAGAAGTTGTAATGAATCATCTTAATCATCTGCATTGGATCTTTTGGCAGGTGTTTCGTGGAAATGTGGATAACAACACCCCCTATGCCAACTCTTTCACACCCCCTATAAAGGCTCAGTATGTCAGACTGTATCCCCAAGTTTGTCGAAGGCACTGCACCTTGCGGATGGAACTCCTGGGCTGCGAACTGTCAGGTGAGTGTCTGGGTACCTATCTCCATCCCTCTTTTTAAACAAAGCACAAAGCGTATTGTATGTAACCTGCTTCTGAGTCGCCAGCGTTTAAAAATGTAGTTGAGTTGCAAGATATCTAGCGTATGGTCCATTGGAAAAGTGTGTGTGTGTGTGTGTGTGTGTGTGTGTGTGTGTGTGTGTGTGTGTAGAATAGACAACTTCCAGAGCCTGCTACAGTGCAGAATTAATGTAGACAAGATAACGTATTCAACTGAGTGATCAAAGAAAGTGCAATGAATTCTCGTGAAAAACTCTCATCAGACTGAACTGTGTTTCATTGTTTTTGGAAATCACAATGATTTGTGTCATATGAGAAAAGTTCAGTCAAAACCGAAGTCTGTCTGACCTCATAAATTGCGGCAAATTTAAGCTGAATACCACAGGAAGGAGAGCTTTATCTCTACTCATGTATCGTAAATACTTGGCTGGCTTTTTTTTTTCCTTCTTAGCTTTTGGGAAACATGTAGATTTATCATTCTCTCAAGGGGACAATACTTCAATACCAGGATTGCAACTGTAAATTCATTCTCGGATCATTCCCAGCCTAGCAACCTGCGTGCTGCACAGTTAGTGCTGGTGAGCTCCAGGGTAGACCATGAAAGGGACGAGAGTTAAATAATTCTTGTCCTGCAGGAGCGAGAAGGCCGAGTGCAAAGATGGAGACTTTAAGTGGGTGTCCCACAGTGGTCCTGTCTCAATACAGTTAGAGTCTCAGAATATTTCTGAGTGGCACACTCTGTTACATTTGTCGGAGGTTCTAGTATTTTCATAATCAAATTTTAAAAACTACCCTTGCCACAATAGGCTCAAGTTATTTTGCTCAGAGAACTGTGAAGAAAGTTGTTTATGTCTTTGGAACTATTTAGTATTAAAAAGTATGGCTGAAAAACTTTCCCAAACTCAATACCGGTTCAGTTAAAAATAGAAGGCTGGGTCCCTGCAGAGAGATGGTTTTGAGGTCCGTGTTTCCTTTTAAGAGGTCACCTGAAGGTTAAGGTGTGTGTTTTTATATCCGTTTCCTTTCTTAGATTTGTTTGTAATGCCTGGAAGAGGAATGATTGTGAAGCAACTAGAAGATTACTATTTAAAAATAGTCAATATGCAATAAGCCCATTATACAGAAAGAAATCAGAGTGACTTGACAAATTTGATATATATTTTAAGAATCACAGTTTTCATCTACTGTGATTATGTTTTTTTTTTAATGCAATGAAATGACTTACGGTTTCCATAGTTAATTATCTTAACAGAGATGTTTTGCTTACTGTGGTCGTTGGAGCTAGCTTACCGAGTGCTGGTTCACTGCAGTGGAATTGTGGCTGTGTGGTTTTCGTGCTGCATGTGGCTACATGACTGCAAGCCAGTGTCCTCCCTAAGCCATCCATCATTGAGCAGTGGAGAGGAAGGCACAGTGCAGTGAGATCGGCTGCAAACCCTGTAGTTTTCAGCTGCTTGGCATCAGCTGCCCCAGGTTTCCAGTCTTTGATTCACGGGTGTCAGTCTCTCGTCTGTGGCACGGTGACATTCCTAAGGTGTAAATGTATTTGGCTTTTGAGTTTGACAAGAGGTTACACCTGACACATCACAGATATGATTTTGTCAAAGAGAAGCAGTGCCCTGTCTTCTGACCCCACAAATTGATTCTGAACTTGCATGCAGAAAATACTTTGTCTCAGCAGATGCCTGTAAAAGCTACGGCCCTCCGTTCTAGGAATAAGCAGCTTCAGTGCTTAAATACTTCTCCTTGTCCAAGTGCAGTCTATGCTTGTAAAAGTTAATTTATTCATATGAAATTGTGTGGATTAGAAGGAAACTGTTGGCTGAGGTACATGGACAAAGAAGTTGCTCTGTCACATTGGAAATAAATCCTCCAGTAGGAAACCTTCATTTCCTGCAGTCTGAGTGCGTTTATAGAAAGCCTGGGCTCCCTGACTGTGTTCAGCAAGCTGTGCACCTGCAAGATGAGCAGTTCATCACTTCAGAAACACTTAAAAAGAGCATCTCCTGTGTCCTCTGGAAGAGGCCACAACTGACAAACATTTGGAGTGGAGTAGATCATGACCTTAATTAAACAATTCACTCCTAGAACCAACCTTTGTTGCCTCCTGTGGGACCGAGTGCAGAGGGACGGAGCGGGTGTGAGAAGACCTGCACTACCATATTAAAAATGGTCCAAGGAAAAGCATCTCTTTCCTATTAAATGCCTCCAAAGATTGGTCTTGTATCTCTTCTGCAAAGTTTTCCAACCAACAGGCTGGGCCAGGCAGGAGAAGGAATGGAGACTGGGGAACAAGCCGGTAGTCTGTAATGCAGACGGCGCACGTCCTTTGGAACTGCCCGAAGATAAATGGCATGCCACAATGGCTAATGGAACGATCCCGAGTCCTTGGCATTCGTTATTTTTCTCGCGTAGAGCTTACATTTAGGTTTACAGCTATCTTTATTATAGGGCTTGGAATATATGTCTTGCACCTTGCAACTCAACAAGACTTGTACAAAGATGTACAACCCTCAGAAGCCTTTGGGTGGTTTTTGTTTTTCGGTTTTTTTTTCCAAGCTTGTGTGGAATGGAGGATTCCCAGAGGGAGGAGGACAGGGCAAGTGCAGAGGAAGATCGAGAGGTCATCTAGACTGACCAGCACAGAAAGCCACTAAACGCAGTAAAGAATTACTCATCAGTGAAGAGCACTTCTTTTGGACCCTGGACTTAGAAATGGGCTTCAAAATGGCTAGAAATGAATTGGCTTAGCAAATGGCTTAGAGATTGCTCCCGCTGACAGCATGTACTTCAGTACTCACTGGCAGGCTAGTATTTGGTGCTTTAACGTGACTGTTTGACGGAATGAGGTTAAGACTAGCATGTCCTGAGAGTCGGTTGTGTGCCAACACTGTTGCCAGGTATTTCTATGAACTAACTAGTTTTGCTTTTTGGTCCCTGGCACCTGGGTCTACATGGAGTGCATGTTGGCTTCCTGACTTCCGTAGGATACCTTCTCGGGGCTGCGGGTCGGTGATAGATGAACGGGTGTTTCTCCTAGCCAAGCACTTAGCAGGCCAGACCCTGCTTAGCTTCCGGGTCAGGGCACGTCCAGGGTGGTGTAGCCGTAGACCTGCCAGATACTTCTTAGGAGAAAGATGCTGTCCAGTTTAGCACATCGCAGTCTATCAGCTTGTGAAAATGATACTGTATTGAGAGAATTTCCATCTGCACTATTGTGAAAACAAATAAAAGCAAACCAATTCTACTTTGTGAGAAAATGCCCCATTTTGAAGGAAAAAAAAAGGAGTGCTGGAAAGCAGGGGGCTGTTGTGTCTGTAATGAGACGGGGACACGTTTCAGCGTGCTTCTCCCGGAGCAAAGTCATCTATCACAGAAATGTAGTTTAAACTGTCCGTCTTGTTTTCATTTTTTTCCCCAAAATATATTCAGATAAAATAGCCTGGATTGACTGTCGTGTTTTTCAGTTGGATTCTAGGTTTATTTCTGATTATAGCTCGCAGTTGGGTTTTGGTTTTGTTTTAAGATGTGCTCTTTTCAGGGGAATGAAGAGCTTTCCGTTTAATCTTCGCTGGCCTGTCTGAAATGAATCGAGTTCCAGGGTGATGGGCTGTTTTTTCTCATGGAGCCCTTCTCCTCCTCTCTCAGGCTGCTCTGAGCCCCTGGGGATGAAGTCGGGACACATACAAGACTATCAGATCACTGCCTCCAGCATCTTCAAAACCCTCAACATGGACATGTTCAGCTGGGAGCCGCGGAAAGCGCGGCTGGACAAGCAGGGCAAAGTGAACGCCTGGACCTCCGGCCACAACGACCAGTCGCAGTGGTTGCAGGTAACGTTCTCTGACACCTTTCACCACCCACAGAGAAGCAGATGAACTCTGCGGGGTTAGGGCGATTCCAGTGCAGCCTAGCCTCAGCCTCACCACCTCGAGGGAGAGCAGATGTCCTGTATAAAGCCGGGACCCTCAAGGTGAGTTGTGCTGTGCTGTGGGTTTGCAGAAGCCACTCGGGGGCCGGTGCAGCGTGTCACCCCAGATCACATGGTGCACAGGTCGATCTGATCGATTAGGAGATGGTTTGCATCGGAAACCTCCCCCGTTCTTAGGCTCTGTGTTCATATTGGTTTTAAAAGTGTCAAAACAGGCCCTGGAAGGCCATTGAGATCCTGCCACGCACTTGCAGGTAGTTCTGGCATGGGTGACTCGTGACTTACTAGCTCTTTACCGGAGGTTGCTGAGCAATGCAGTGTTTGGGCTGCGTCCTAACACAGCTCATGTGGAAGGAACGCAAGGGTTGCTACACACTCAGTTTGCCATCTGCAGATGAAGGCTGGCTGTGGTCCAGTGCTTGCGGAAACAGCCTTCTCGAAGGGGGCTTAGCTGTGGAAGACGGGTAGGAGGGCTTGGGCTGGGGATGTCTTTTGTGGCCAAGAGGTCACTTGACTTGAAGGATAAAGAGTTTTTTGCGCTCATGGACTTTGATGTCATAGCCCTCAGTTTCATAATGGTGGCAACTCATTGCGTTCCCGGGACTCTTGTCAACAGTTTAAAATCACAAATGTAACCAATCCCCTAAACTACACTTGTCATCTTACCAGATCACCTGCCACAGGCGAGAGTCCCTGTGGACTTGGTGCTTCCTCCGCTGGCCTTGATCTTGTTCTTATGGTCAGCAAACGACTTTTTTTTTCTCCCTCTCTTTCTTCACAGGCCATGGAGGTCTCCATTGGTCTAGAGATACCTTGAGCAATTTCAGTAGCTGTCACACATTAAGGATAATGGTGAATATTTCGCTCTTGTCGCAGTTGTATGAACTTTCTGAAGAGAGGTTTTCTTTTTTCATATAAGCTGTCTTCAAAGAGTTCTTGTAGAAATTATACTGTAGGGGAAAATGGTGTAGAATTTTCAAAAACAATGTGCTCCAAAATAAAGCTGTAATTCCATTTTCTGTTAAGTTTTTTTGAATTTCCCCTTTTTAAAAATCACTCCAGTATCCAACCTGGTGTATTTGCCTTCTATGCAGTAGTGCTTGCACAATTAAGACATTGGTTTCTGGAATGTTCGCAGTGCACCTGTGAAATGTCATGCAATCTGGTCAACAGTGATGACACTCGGGTGAGCAGCACAGCATTCCTGCTCTGCCGGTAGCATCTCTTCCTTCAGCTTGACTTATGTGACCCTCTGCAGTTTTCTTCCACACTGTCTCACTGCCGTGACCCCCGTGTCCCCTCCCGGCTGTCCTTCCACTGCCGTGACCCCGTGTCCCCTCCCGGCTGTCCTTCCACCGCCTGTTAAATTCCGCTGGATGCTGTTTCACCAGTGCACACCCTCACATGAACTGGTTTAGCAGAGGCTGATTTCAGCCCCTTAAACAGAGATTCCAGTACCCTATAAGTCATTTCACTTTTTGCCATGTCTTTCCATGGTCCGGGTTTTCATCTTCTGCGTACACATCCCTGCAGAAGCCATGCAACCCTCCTCCTCGATTCTGCTCCTGCTGTAAAGGTCCAGAGTGTGTTCCTTCCCTAAAATGCAAGCACGAATCTCTCACTTCCTCACTCGAGGTCATTCCTTGTTCTTTTTGAGGCTCAGGATAGAATGCAGCTTCCTCCTTGATCAAGTCTTTGTATGATTTGACTAACACTCTTCCAAGTGCACTTCAGTTTCCCGAACAAGTTTCTCTCTCTCCCTCTGCTCCTTTTTGATTGTGCTGTGCCTAGAGGAAAAATACAGTTTCAGTGAATCTTTGGAAGGTTTTCGAGTCAGTTCCAGGCTTTCCTGTGTGCGATTTTAATTAGATTTACATTCTTTCCTGTATTGTGCAATAGAGTATGTTCAAGAGTCCTAGCGGAAGCCACGGTTTCCTGAATGTTCCGCGTTCCAACATGCTACCAGGGTTAAGTGGTCGATTTGTGTTTTAGCCTGAGCATCTCCTTTGAAGCACCGCTGCTTTTGTGGGTTGATGTCCTAAGGGCTGCTCCCACGCCATCACTTGGATCCCGTGACGTTCAGTGTGATCACTGAGATGCTTCTTCAGGGCCTCCTGGGCAGGTGGCACACATAGCATGGATATGCTGGAGAAATCGGCCATGTGTGTCCTGGGCGGGACGGGGCAGCGTGGTACATAGGAGATTCCATCACATGGCTGAGGGTGGCGTGTAAATGAAAACCTGTGAATTGGTGACTTCTGAAAGCCCAACAGGACTGAAGGAAACTGAAGCTTTTGAAATCAAGGCCATAGATAAAGGGAGGCAGGCCTGTCATTCGCCATGGCCTCACCACTCCGTGTTGGAAATGAGGCTCTCATGCTAGCCGGTCTGCTCCCACAGGGCTGGGGCCACACCACTGGTGATCTCAGCTTGTTGTTCAGTGCCTGCCCATGTGCCAAGCGCCTTAACTGACACATGGCAGGTAGTAACAAGTTCCTTGAATTTTGTTGGATAAATGAATGGGCGATTCATTCAGAGAGCAAATTTGAGTAATGGTTCAGACTGTGTAGAGTATAGAAATTGAATCTTTGATGTCATACTTCAAACCGGTGCCTATTTTTTAAAAAATTTTTATTTCTGATGATATACTTCCATAGGTTCAGGGATTTTCCCTTCCATCCTCCCCATTTAAGGTAACAATTATAAGAACTCAAAGACCTGACCATTTTAAATCCAGGAACTAAATTTTGATTATTTGCTGAATTGATGAAGCTTTCAAGTGCTCACGTCAAGGAATGATGATATTTATGCTGCATGATACCATTAGATTATAAATACTTAAATTGTATCTTAGATTTAATAGTGAGGCTAATACTTACAGGCCAGAATCCCTAGCCGTTTGTGGATGACAAAGCGTTTACGCCGTAGAACTAACTCAGACCAATCGGCTCAAGAAATAACCATACAAAAAACTATCCAGTAGCCAATTTTTCAGAAAGATAAAAATAAAAGTAATATTTTTTACACATCTGAGAGGGTAGTCTACTGCAATCCCCCATCCATCACTCTGCTGGAGATGATTTTCAACTGTCTGCTTGAAGTCACCTGCGTGCCGGGATTGATTTACTTTGTGGATGACAGATTTTTCTGTCAATTCAGGGACCGGTTCCCTGCAATATACATTTAATTTTGTTGTGTCAAACCACATACAGAATCTCCAAGGCAAAGAAAATTGACATCTTACCTCTTTTTTTTTTTCTTTTCTTTTCTAACTTTGTTGTCAGGAAAAGCTCCAGAACTGTAATGATTTTTAGTGTTTTTTTCTCCTCCAGAGTTTATAATCTGTTCGAGCATAAATCTTCCTGCTGCTAGTGTCTTTGTTAAAAACAACATCACCATTTGATTGAAAGATTCACTTATTTATTGAAAGCTAGAGAAAGAGTTACAAAGAGAGCTGTCTTCCACCTGGTAGCTCACTCCCCAAGTGGCAACAAAGGCCATGGCAGAGCCAGTTGAAAGCCAGGAGCTTCCAGGGTCCTAAGCACTTAGGCCATCTGCTGCTGCTGCTCCCAGGCCATTAGCAGGCAGCTGGATTGTCAGTGGATCTCCTGGAACTGGAACCAACAGACCTGTGGGTTGTCCGTATCCCAGGCTGTGGCTCCCCACACCCCTGTTTATCACAATGCCAGCCCCAACATGAATGTTTTTATAGAGAGCAATGTAAGAAAAAGTTATGTTGTTCATGAACCGTTGCTATTGAAGTCATTTTAAATTTTGAATTGAAAATGTTACTATGTATAAATTTAGCTATACTTTTGTTTTTATTTTTTACTGATGCCTAAAACTTGTTCACATAATGGGTTACTGTTTGGTGTTTTGATATACACATGCAGTGTTCAAATTAGCAAAACCAAACTTTCTGCTCAGATAATTAACATGTCTTTGCAGTAAAAAAAAAATTCAAAGTCTTCAAGTTTTTTTTTTTTAAGAATATGTTGTTATTATGCAACAACAGCAGAGCCTGTTGTGTTCCACATAGAACCCTGTCACCAGCCTTTGCCCATTCCTCGTCTTCTTGTGTTTGGCTTGTTTCATTGAAAACAGTGGCTCCAGTTCCATGGAAGCCAAAGCAAAGGAGAGAGATGGCATCGATGTTGTGGCTGGATGGCATGCCCTCGTTGATGTGGATCGGATTGCCTTCCTCTCTCAGTGCCCGACGGGTTGATGGCCTGGTCTCTCAGCTGCTGTGAGCAGAGCCTCAGTGAGCTGCTGGGAGAGCACGGCTTCCCTGGGGAGTGGGCCTGTCCCTCGGGATCCCTGCAGGGCGGTGCTGCTCCTGGCTGCTGTGGTCCTCGCAGTAAGTGCAGCCTGTCGGTTCTGAGCGACAGTTTCCAAAGGAGCCATGTGCATCACTTTCATCCCTTTCTCTGATTAGAAACCTCTGACTAATGGGTTTTTCTTAAAGGAATTTATTTCATATTCCAACTATGCGTGAATACAGAGTTTTGCTTCAGTTTGATGTCCTTTTCCCTACAATGCTTTGTGGTATATTTGAAGGGACGTTTAATTAAAATCTCACTTAGCTGTTTATTTGGAATGCAGAGTGAGAAAATGTATGTGTGTTCACTGCCTTTTTGGTGATAACTCTAGAAAGTGAGTAACTCACATAGAAATATATTTTTTTCAGATTTCATAAAGGGCAATATAATGAAAGTGACCAGCAGGAAACAAAATGTCATAATGACAACTCACAAATGACCTTATAGTCTATGTAATGAGTCATTTGCTAATTTAGGGCGGTCTGCCTCGTATTTCCACTAAATGAATAGAATTAATAGGGTTATTAGATTGTACATTTTGGTGCTGACCTTTTGGTCATAATTGCATATAACCCTACAAAGC